CTCGCGGGCCTATTTTATAAGCCAGAGAGGTGGGCCGTTTGGCATACTGAACTAAGTAGCTCCGTATGTGCGTTCGTGTACGTGTGCGTTCTTCCATTTTCTTCGCCGACCGCTGCGAGCCGTATGTCCCGCCTATCGCATCGCGCGTTCTAATTTGTCCAACTATTTTAATTAATATCTCGAAATTTTACGTGGTTGCTTGAAAAATAACCTATACAATTTTTGTTTACTTTTATGTATTCTACTTATATTTTTCTTTTGGTCCATCTTACGCGGGACACCCTATATATATATATATATATATATATATATATATATATATATATATGTGTGTGTGTGTGTTGTGTGTATATGTACATTCTGAGAATATCGGAATATTCTAAAAATATTTCTTACACAATTCATAGTTCTACAAAATATTAACCGTAATTCGTTTTTTACATTTTAGACGTAATTTACATAATCTATGTGCAATATCCTCAGAATATCCTTTGCATATTGCATATATATACGAACTTTCAAAATACATTTCATAATATATGGAGAATCTACGCACGCAAAATATGATATTCTGTGTACGATGTCCTGAGAATATTTTTAGAATATACGAAATGTTCGTATCCAGTATATACTGCTTACGATATCTTCGATATATTCTCAGAATGTTACGCATACATATGGGAGATTTCGTATGAATTCAGAATATACGGAGAATATCATGTGCTATCTGGGAAGAATTTAAAACAGCTAACCTGAATATAATTTGTTTACATCTGGTGATAAAACTTTACTGGATCTATCATAAAGCAATTAAAGAGTTTCTTGACAAAAACTTTGAAAATTATTAGATAGATCGATTCAGAAAATCATAACTATCTTTATGTTCATTAAAATTGACACTTGTAAAATTTTTTTTATGGTGAAAATTGTAATGTACAATTTAATAATAATCTACAATGAAGACATAAAGGAGTATATAAAAAGTTCTTGCTTTACAATATATCCAAATAAAATTTAAACATATAATACTTGAATTGCTTTAAAACACACATTAATCTTCAAAATCATCATTTCAAACAATAGCAGTATATATGTTAACAATTATATTACTGAATTGTTTGATTTGTTTACTAAAATAAACTTTGAGTTCACTTACAACAATCTTAAACTATAGATTACTTTATGCATTTTAAAAAACGTACTAAAGTCAAATAAAAAAAATATATATACCATTACATTTAAAACAACGAAATTGTCCTATATATGTCTTTTATGCTTCTAACTTCACGAGAACTATTGAAATATATTGTCATTCTAGAAGTCAAGTAATATTTGCTGAAGCTATATTTTCTATTATAAAAAAATTAATTATTTAATGATCCAACAAACACAGAATATAACTATTGTGTATCATAGAAGTAACACATAATATAACGGACGTTATACGTTATTAATGTTAAAGTTACATAATTTTTTTTTATAACTGCAATCTAACTGTGTTTTAGAACTGTTATAATTCTTTGTTATTTACAAGTTATAATTGTATAATTGTATAACTGTATAATTGTATAATTGTATAACTGTATAATTGTATAATTGTTATAATTGTATAACACCAACATAATTAAAATATAACTTTATATTGATTACATAACAAGCGTTTATTTGCATTACATCTATGTTATATAGTATTCTTATATCTAGATATCGGATTATTCGCTAAATGGCTTCCGTTTTCTCGCGTCTTTCTCGTACGTGAAATATGATGCATTAATATATGTAAGAACGGATGCTTATAAGACGGCACAACTTGTACTATGAAGTCCACTTTTATAGTAAGTGGTACAATCCTTGATCAATCGAGATCACTGTTACAATAGTAATCCCTTACATTTGGATATGTACAGAGAGATGAAAACAAATAAATAAAAATAACTCTAATAGCATAAAATACCTGAGGACATGCTGAGATACTAGACTCTTAGAATGGCTCTAATATGATTTTGGAATATCTTGTGTTATTTGGGATCAAATTAATTTAGAATGGTAAAATAATTTTATGCTATCACCTTTACTAAAAATATTTTTGATACGAAATATATAATTATAATATTTTTAGGAGCATACTATTACAAATTAATTGATATTTGAGTGATAGCTTGTAATCGCTGTGTACAATTAAATGCCTATAATTGCTGGAAAATAACAATTTATATTCCAGCCCCACAAAAACGTACATCAAATTCACGTCGAATCCACGTAGAGTTCACATGGAATCCACGAAATCACGTGGATTCCACGTGGGTGTAACGTGCATGTTTTTGTGGGGAGCTATATA